GGCTGCACAACAATGTGAATGTACTTAACACTACTGAACTGTAGACGTAAAAATGCTTAAGATGGGAAATTTTAGGGCCGGCTCCGTGGCTTAGCGGTTAAGTGCGCGCGCTCTGATGCTGGCGACCCGGGTTCGGATCCCGGGCGCGCCCCGAGGCACCACTTCTCCGTCCAACGCGAGGCCGAGTCCCACGTACAGCAACTAGAAGGATGTGAACCTATGACATGCAACTATCTACTGGGGCTTTGGGGGGAAAAAAATGAATAAATAAAATCTTTAAAAAAAAAAAAAAAAAAGATGGGAAATTTTATGTTTTGTGTATTTTACCACAATTTTTTAAAAAAGTATCCAAGAGAACTCTAAGAAATGAAACCCTAGTAGTGAGAGTCTATAGAACCCCCAAAGCTGAGGAGGAACCAGCTCAAGAGAAGTATCTCTGACAGGAAGTAAGCAGCAGTCAAATAAGGTGATTTCTGAAAAACCTACAAAATCACTCAGTAGGGAAGCCATCAATAGCACACATATGTGCTTCTTGTCCTCCAGTTTTCTCTTCCCCATTAGAAGTCAGAACAGCAGCTGATAAATAGAGGAATTGATGAAGCTAGGGAAAAATGTGGAAGCAAACAGCACATCCCACCCTCTGTAGGCTCCCAGGTCTGAAATAGTACAGACCGGAGCAGGGAAGAGGTTTTAAATTAAACAGGGAAGAGTTGAGTTTTGATATTATGTTAGACATAATAATTTCTGAAATGAGACTGTTCTTGTTACTGAAAGGAACCACAAAACTGTGAGACTGACCCCAAACTATCCAGGTGTGGAGAAATAAAAGTCTCAGAGTGACTTTAATGGAATGAAAGAAGAAAGCTAATTTCTGTGTGTACATGCGAAGCTACAGTCCTTTCAAAATACCGGATTCACCTGTTTCCCTTTCCTCCGATCCATGTCTGTGCATTCTTCCCATCTTCATGAATGTGGCTGAGGGTTGTGGGTTAATGGTTCTTTCTTGACTGTAAACTTGGGGATATCAGTTTCTGTTACGTGGGAGGGAAGAGAAGCAGAACCTTAAGCAATATCTCAGTCATACAGATTGCTTTTAAAATAAATACACTGTTTTCTGGAATCTCATGGTTGCATTGAAGTTTTCTCCTATTTATTTTATAAACTGTTTCAGAAGGAAATGTTTCCTATGATTCCTCAGAATATAAAGCCTTTTAAAAACATTTAAATCATTGCATATGCCTATACATTTTCCCCAATTTTGTTCGTGTTTTCTAGCATTGGATTTTGAGATGAGTTACTTCAGAATGAGTATTGAATGTTTTAGACAAAGTGGAGAATAAAAACAATTATATTATTAATAATTATATTATGTGAAATTTGGAATCCAACTGCCTCTAAAGGCAATAACCAAGAATATGGTACAGCAGTCCCTGGAGTGAGGTCAGTCAAGAGAATGTTGCCAGGCAACCAACTCAATCAGTGTTTAGTGTGTAATGATCTGAAGATGGTCTGGGGTTGAGTCTGTTGCCTGGCAACGTTCCCTTGACCACTCTCACCCCCAGTGACTACTGCGCTGAGCTTGTGGGGTGCTGGTTCCCCGCCAGATCTCTGGTTGCCCTGAGAAATAAGGAGAGGTGGAGATGGGCACTGCTGGACCAAGCATTCTGGTGTCTCAGTACCTATGTTTCAGTTTTGTGTTATTTCACTCCACCTGTTGTGGCAGCTGAGATTTAGAAGTTTGTGTTATGGAGTTTCCTTTACTAGCAAACCAACTTTGCAGAAACCTCAGTAACTGTGCTCCTGATTCATTCAGTAAGCTTTTTGAGACTTGTGATGGTCAGAGCCTAAAGTAGCAGGCAACAATTGCATAAAAAACACAATGAATTTCTTGATGCCTTTCAGTCATTTGGAAAATGGTAACTGGGCACCTAAATACTCAATCAATAATATGAAACATCCTGGGATTGGGTAATAGATAGGATGACTGATATGTGTGTAGAGGGATGGGGAGAGTACACTTTAGAATGTGTCAGTATAAACCTTCCTTCTCATTAAAAGAATTATTACTACCTATACAGATTTTCTCCTTTTTTCTAGCCAACCTACTCATGTGTAGAGTGGGCAGATTTAGCAAATTAAAATCTGGAATTCCCAGTTAAATTTTAACTTAGCAACAAATATTGCAAATACAACAAATACAAACATTGCATGAAGAATACTTGCACAAAAAATAAATCATTTTCAGTTTTAAATTCAAATTTAAGTGGATACCTTGTATTTTACCTGACAACCCTAGTTAGGTCACAACAATTTTTCTTATCTTTTAAATTGTTCGACACTCTAGGGCTTTGTTTGGGATTTTTCTCAATTATCTGTTTATATTTCTTTGTGAACCCTTAAGTAGTGATACAGCCCAGAGACTGAGGACAGGAAAAGAATGTGCACCAAAGTCAAGAGGGATTGCTGCCCCTTCAAGGGTGGGAAGGACCCAGAGAAAGGGGAAGTGGAAAAGACAACATGACATGCTGGGAAGCAGTTCATCTGAAGACGAGAGAAACGCTGGAGGAACATGGAGAGTTGAGACAGGGTGTGTATCAAGGAATTACCACTGTGAGTACCTAGAGCTTTCTAGAAGCCACTGTAAATACTATCACAACATTTTCCTGTCTTTCCCCAAGAGTATAGATATGTTTCTGTTTCGCTTCTGGCTGTAATGAATCCTTACCTGTGGCCTGACAGGGAGAATTTCCTGCTTTGCCCCCAGTGGCTTAAGGTTTTTGCTCCACAGGGGAGAAATTTCCAGGTGGGGCTCTGTGTCTTTTGCACAATGATTGCTGTTCATCTCCCCCAGGCCTGCAACATAAGAGAAACTTTCTAAAGTCTCCTAACCTGCCCTCAAACTTGCAGCATCCGGTGAGGTCCGTGGGTGTGATTTGCCTTTGTGTCTGCAGCTCTCAGGGGTTCTAAGCTCTCATGCAAAATCACACTCTGCCTTTAGCAACTAGCTAAAAGCTTCAGCTGAATTGGTTGTAACAGCTTATATGAGTTGAGTATTCACCCCAGGTAAGCAAGATTTCATGCCCTGTCTTTCCTCGGAGGTACCTGTCTTTCCTTCGATTTCAGCTTAGTTGATTGCCATGTGACCTCAGATCTCTGATGGGTTTAAGAAAGCTGTGAATTTGCAGACTCTCCAGCTTTGCTTTGTTGCTGTAAAAGCAGGAGTTACGTACTTTCCAGCTTTCTACATGCTAAGTGGCCCTGAGTCTTCCCTTCTGGTGGCTATCTGCTCTGGTGACCCAGCCTTGTAGCCTTTACAGGTTGAAGTGTTTGCTCACTTGGAGTGGGTTAAATGTCAACCACACTTTGGACTCAAGACTAAAACGAGAGGTAAGAATTAACTCATCCAATACTGATTTGCTTCAGGATTAGCTCCTTTAAGTCTGCAAAGTAACTGGCTATGCTTGAGTGCTTAAGACAGTTTGGATAGCATGCATAAGTGAGGGATCAGGTGGTAGGCTCTGACACATCTTCCAGTTGCAGACATAGGGAGGGAGGCTGGTGGTCTCTGTGGCAAAAATACTGAGGCAGCAGAACAGAAGAGAAGCAAGATTTTCCCATGTCATATTGCCATGACCAAAAAGCTTAGAATGCATCCCTTAATCATGCCAACAGAGAGGCTGCCATTCCTCAGCCACGCCCCTACACACCCATGTGCAGCATCAGAATCTCCTCCAATGAGTCTGATATCCAGACCTACTGGATTACTGCATGTTGCCCCAGTGTGAGATAGGTGAGAGGAAAGCTACACAACTGCAGTTGGTTCTGCATCTGTGATATTGTTCCCTAGTAAATATTGTCCCAGAAAAACTGGTGTGGATGTATTGTTTGACCATTTGCTCCTGTGTATACATATATGCTCAGTAGGTTTTATACAATGAACAACAGGAAGATTTCCAGTTCTGGCCATAGAACTGTAGCCTGTATCACGTGATGCGTCCTACAAAAAGATCATTACAAAAGGACAAAATTTATACAAGAACTGAGAAGATGAAACTTGAGGGACTCCAATTGCTCAAGGCTTACTGCTTATATTCTACCTGCCTGCCAGAAAAAAAAATAATAACCTCTTTGGTCTGGATTGAGCCCGTCTGCAGAGACAGCAAGACTGATCTCAGTTTTCCTGGCCCGCAAAGCTATTTCTAGAGTCTTTGGTAAACCGACTTTGGCCGTCAGTATGCATTCTCCCTGGCATGGCTCCTGGGCCCCAGATCCCTAAATATGTCTCTTGTTACTAGAGAAACCAGGTGTTCCCTAGCTCCCCTTAGGCTAACCCGTACCACGTAACAGGGTGACAGGGCGGGGCTTACGCTCTCCCTCTCTCTGGGAGTGCTCTCTGTGCATGTGCAGTCTCCTGGCTAAGGCAAACCCCCTCTATCAGGACCTTTGTCACGACACATACGGGACACCTATGCCAGGCCATTGCTGTAGAAATGTGAGTGTTTGAGGACCATGTTCTGTCTTCTCTGCCTGAGAGCTTTTCTCCAATAAATTCTATGTTGTATCTGCACCATGTGGTGCTAGTGATTTGTGCCCCCTTGCAGGACACTAATAACATCCAAACACAATTTTAAAAACTGCTTTCTGTAGTTGGGAGACAGAGAGAAATGAGAAAAAGGAAGAGATAAGAGGAAGAAAGATGTTCCCTCTTGCAACAGCTCTCTGTTCTTTCTGAGGCCACAGATGTGCTGCAGCTCATTTGTAGACCTGTGGGTGATTGGTACAGTGGATTCAAAAACAGAAGTGTAAGCTTCGGTTTATAAACAGAAGTTTAAAATCACAACTCCTGTTTAACATTAAGTCTGTTAGTTCACCGCCATCTTTTTTTTTTTTTTTGCAGTTTGTCGAATTTCTCTTCATAGCCATCAATGTCTGAAGAAGTACTGATGCAGATCTAAAATTCCAGGACTCCAGTAAGACAGAAAACATCCGGGAGTTGGACAAATTGGGGATAAATGGTAAGATTTTGAGCTGTGGATGTGTTGTAAGGTGGCAGAAATGTAAGGGTAGAAGTCCTGCACTGTAGTTATTAGTGAATCAACAATGATCCTTCAATTTGATTTTTTAATTAATCCTCCCATTTTTACTAAAGCTGGCAAAAGTGTCATACAAATGATTATAAAGGTTTTTTTTTTAAGGCACTGATAAGTGCATTGAACACTCAATCTTTTACGATTTTTCTATTTTTTAATACCACACTCAAGATAATTAAGAGAGGATAGTATTTTCACATGACTGGATTGCAAATTTTCTTTTTTTTTCTCATCAAAGGAAGCCATGAAACAAGGAACATATGTTGCCCAGGAAAGTCAAGTTTTTTAATGTTTTTTTTAATAAGAAAATGCTAGTGAGTGTGTATGTGTGTGTGTGTAAAAGAGAGAAATGGAGAGGCAAAGAGAAAGAGAAACAGACAAAGAGAAGTTTTAGAGGATTTCATTTGATTTTCTACCAAGTTAAGTATATGTTACCATAAAATTTCTCCTACTTCTTTTGGACATCTTTTCCCAACTTAGTAAAATATAGAAGAGGTTTAGTTAGATGAAAGGACATATCAAGGATTCAAAAATGAAAAGAGATAAAGAAATATTGAAAGATATAACATTCAAAACCACACTGTACCTGGAAACTTTGTATTTTTCCATTCAGCTCTCAGTTTTATTGATCCTTTCTATTGTCTTTTTAGTCTCTATATTATTTATTTATGCTCTGATTTTTGTTATTTCTTTCTTTATACTGATTTTAGGCTACGTTTGTTTTTCCCTCTCCCATTTGCTGGGTTGCCTTTTCATTTTATTGATGGTTTCTTTTGTTGTACAGAAGCTTTTCAGTCTGATGTAGTCCTTTTTGTTTATTTTTGCTTTTGTTTTCCTTACCTTTGGAGTCAGGCCCAAAAAAACATTGTTAAGACTGATGTCAAAGAGCTTACTGCATATGTTTGCTTCTAGATGTTTTATGGTTTCAGGTCTTACATTTGAGTATTTAATCCATTTTGAATTAATTTTTGTATATGATGTAAGATAGTGGTCCAGTTTCATTCTTCTGCATGTAGCTGTCCAGTTTTCCCAACACTACTTATTGAAGAAACTGTCATTTCCTCATTATACATTCTTGCCTCCTTTGTCACAAATTAATTGACTATATATGGCTGGGTTTATTTCTGGGCTCTCTATTTAATTCCATTGATCTATGTGTCTGTTTTTATGCCAATACCATACTGTTTGATTACCATAGCTTTGTAGTGTAGTTTGAAATCAAGGAGTGTGATACGTCGAACTTTGTTCTTTTTTCTCAGAATTAGTTTGGCTATTCATGATCTTGTGCAGTTCCATATAAATTTTAGGATTCTTTGTTCTTTTTCTGTGAAAACTGTTGTTGGTATTTTGATAGTGATTGTATTGAATATGGAGGTTGCTTTAGGTAATATGGACGTTTTAACTATGTTAATTCTTCCAATCCATGAGCATGGACTATCTTTCCATTTCTTTGTGTCTTCTTCATTTTCTTTCAACAATGTCTTATAGTTTTCAGTTTATAGATCTTTCACCTCCTTGGTTAAGTTTTTTCCAGGTATTTTATTCTTTTTGTTGCCATTGTAAGTGGCATTGTATTTTTGATTTCTTTTTCTCCTAGTTCGTTGTTAGTGTATAGAAATACAACAGATTTTTGTATGTTGATTTTGTAACCTGCCACCTTACTATATTCATTTATTAGTTCAAAAAGTTTTTTGGTGGAGTTCTTAGAGTTTTATGTATATAGTATCATTTCTTCTGCAAATAGTAACTGATTTACTTCTTCCTTTCCAATTTGGATCCCTTTTATTTCTTTTTCTTGCCTAATTGCTGTGGCTAGGATTTCCAATACTATGTTGACTAAGAGTGGCAAAAGTGGACATCCTTGTCTTGTTTCTGTTCTTAGGCAAATAGCTTTCAGTTTTTATCCATTGAGTATTGTGTTAGCTGTGGGTTTGTCATTTATGGCATTTACAATGTTAAGGTATTTTACTTCTATACCCATTTTATTGAGACTTTTTATCATAAATGGATACTGAATCTTGTCAAATGCTTTCTCAGCATCTATTGAGATGATCATGTGACTTTTATTCTTCATGTTGTTAATGTGGTGCATCACATTGATTTATTTGTGGATGTTGAACCATCCTTGCATCCCTGGAATAAATCCCACTTGATCATGGTGTATGATCCTTTTAATGCATTGTTGTATTCAATTTACTAGTATTTTGTCAAGAAATTTTTCATCTATGTTCATGAGCAAAATTGGCCTGTAATTTTCTTTTTTCATGTTGTCCTTGTCTGTTTTTGGTATCAGGGTAATCTTGGCCTCATAAAATGAGTTAGGAAGCCTCTTCTTCTCTTCTGTTTTCTGGAAGAGTTTGAGAAGAGTAAGTATTAAATCTTCCTTGAATGTTTGGTAGAATTCACCAGAGAAGCCATTTTGTCCTGGACTTTTGTTTTTTGGGAGGATTTTGATTACTGTTTCCATCTCCTTACAAGTGACTAGTCTCTTCAGATTCTCTGTTTCTTCTTGATTCAGTTTTGGAAGGTTGTCTCATTCTAGGAACTTATCCATTTCTTCTAGGTTATCCATTTTGTTGCTGTATAGCTTCTCATTGTATTCTCTAATAATCCTTTGTATTTCCATGGTATCCATTGTAATTTCTCCTCTTTAGTTTCTCATTGTATTTATTTGAGCCTTCTCTCTTTTTCTTGGTGAGTCTAGCTAAAGGTTTGTCAATTTTGTTTATCTTTTCAAAGAACGAGCTCTTAGTTTTATTGATCCTTTCTATTGTCTTTTTAGTCTCTACATTATTTATTTATGCTCTGATTTTTGTTATTTCTTTCTTTATACTGATTTTAGGCTATGTTTATTCTTCTTTTTCTAGTTCCTTTAGGTGTAATGTTAGATTGTTCAGTTGAAATTTTTCTCGTTTCTTGAGGTAGGCCTGTACTGCAAAAACTTCTCTCTTAGTACTGCCTTTGCTGCATCTCATAGATTTTAGTAGGTTGTGTTTTCATTTTCATTTGTTTCCAGGTATTTTTTATTTCTCCTTTGATTTCTTCATTGATCCAATTGTTGTTCAGTAGCATGTTATTTAGTCTCCTCATATTTCTGAATTTTCCAGCTTTCTTCTTCTAGTTGATTTCTAGTTTCATACCATTGTGGTCAGAAAAGATGTGTGATATGATTTCAATCTTCTTAAATTTAATGAGACTTATTTTGTTTCCCAGCATATGGTCTATCTTTGAGAATGTTCCATGTGAACTTGAGAAGTATATGTATGCTGTTGTTTTTGGATGGAATGTTCTATAGATATCTATTAAGTTCATCTGGTCTAATGTATCATTTAAGACCAATGTTTCCGGGGCCGGCCTGGTGGTGCAAGTGGTTAAGTGTGTGCGCTCCCACTGTGGCGGCCCGGGGTTCACCAGTTCAGATCCTGGGCGCGCACCAATGCACCACCTGTCTAAGCCAAGCTGTGGCGACGTCCCATATAAAGTGGAGGAAGATGGGCACGGATGTTAGCCCAGGGCCAGTCTTCCTCAGCAAAAAGAGGAGGATTGGCAGATGTTAGCTCAGGGCCGATCTTCCTCACACACACAAAAAAAAGACCAATGTTTCCTTGTTGACTTTCTGTCGGGGTGATCTATCCATTGATATTAAGTAGAGTATTAAAGTCCCCTACTATTATTGTATGGCTATCAATTTCTCCCTTTAGATCTGTCAATAATTGCTTTATTTACTTTGGTGCTCTGATGTTAGGTCCATATATATTAAGAGATGTTATGTCTTGATGAATTGTCCCCTTTTCATTATACTATGTCCATCTTTGTCTCTTGCTGTCTTTTTTTGCTTGAAGTCTATTTTGTCTGCTATAAGTGTGGCTACATCTACTTTTTGTTTGGTTGCCGTTTGCTTGGAGTATCATCTTCCATCTCCTGTTGGCAGCATGTAGATATGTCTATATGTCTTGTTTTTTTTCAATCCATTAATTCACTCCATGTCTTTTGATTGGAATATTTAGTCCATTTACATTTATAGTAATTATTGAAAGGTATGTACTTATTACCATTTGTTAATTGTTTTCTGACTGTTTTTGTTTTTCCTCTCTGTTCCTTTGTTCTCTTTGTCTCTTTCCTTGTGGTTTGATGACTTTCTTTAGATATTTAGAATTATTTCTCATTTTCCTTTATGTATTTAGTGTAAATTTTTGCTTTGTGGTTACTGTGAGGTTTATATATATTATCCTATGTATATAATGGTCTACTTTAAGTTGATAACAACTTAAATTTGAACACATTACAAAAGTCCACATTTTTGCTCCCCTCTTCCATGTTTTATATTTTTGATGTGACTTTTTACATCTTTTTATTTTATGTATCCCTTAACTAATTATTGTAGTTTTAGTTAATTTTACTACTTTTGTCTTTTACCTGTCTTAGTAGTTATATAAGTGATTAATTCACTATATTTACTATATATTTACCTTTTCCAGTGAGATTTTTACTTTCATATATTTTCTTATTATTAATTAGTGCCATTTCCTTTAGGCTTAAAGTAGTCTCTTTTATATTTCTTGTAAGACCAGTTTAGTAGTGATGAACTCCTTCAGTTTTTGCTTATGTGGAAAAGTCTTTATCTATCTCTCAAATCTGAGCAATAACCTTGCCATATAGAGTATTTTTGGTTGGAAAGTTTTTCTTTCAGCACTTTGAATATGTCATGCCATTCTCTTCTGGCCTGTAAAGTTTCTGCTGAGAAATCTTATGCTGATAGTCTTATTAGGTTTCCCTTGTATTAACAATTTGTTTTTCTTCTGCTGCTTTTAAGATTATCTCTTTATGTTTAATTTTTGCCATTTTAATTATAATGTGTCTTGATGTGGATCTCTTTGGGTTCATCTTATTTGGAACTCTCTGGGCTTCCTCAACCTGGATGTCTGTTTCCTTCCCCAGGTGAGGGAATTTTTCAGCCATTATTTCTTCAAATAATTTTTCTGCCTCTTTCTCTCACTCTTCTCCTTCTGGGATCCCTATAGTGTGAATGTTATTCTGCTTGATCTTTGTCCCACAGGTCCCTTAAGTTATCTTCATTTAAATTTTTTTTTTCTTTTTGCTGCTTTGTCTGAGTGAGTTCTGTTGGTTTGTCTTCCATCTCATTGATCCATTCATAGGCTTCATCCAGTCTGCTCTTGAACCCCTCTAGTTAGTGGTTTTCTCAGTTCACTTATTGTATTCTTCAGCTCTGTTACTTCTGTTTGGGATTCTCTTATATTTTCTATCTCTTTGTTGAAGTTCTCACTGTGTTCATCCATTCTTCTCCCAAATTTGGTGAGCATTTTTATGACCATTACTTGGAACTCTTTATCAGGAAGATTACTTATCTCCATATCCTGAAGGTCTTTTTCTGGGAATTTGTCTTGTTCTCTTGTTTGCTTTAGCTCTTGGTTGTCCCTCAAACCTTTGTGATTAGCTAGATCACATGATTTATTCTTGATATGGCCCCATTGTTGAGGGTGTTCCAAGATCTGTCAGTGTTCCATAGGGAGGAATCTCATTTAGCACCTAATTTGAGGCTGATTAGAAACCAGACCCTCAGGCAGCAGCTTTTAATCTATGCAAACATATACAGTCCTATGGGACTGCTATCGTTATCCCTGCTGGCCTCCAGCCCAGGAGATCTGAAGGTGTCCCCTGGGCAATCATTGGAGATTTTGGGGCTCCAGATGAGAGTTGAGCTCCTTTCTGAGAAGTTTCATTGAGCTGTGGCAAGGCCAAAGGGGTGTGCAAAGATAGTGTCTCCCTTTTCATGTTCCCTGATTGTGTCTCCTTAGCATCTAAGTATGTAGGAAACCTGAAGCCTGTCCCTCAGGCTGATGTTCCAGGCTAAGTAAATAGTCCTTTTTCACAAGAAGACTGGGCTTGTGTTTCAATCTGCTTTCTGTACAGTGCCCTAGGGGTGGTAGCCTACTAAAAACTGTCTTTCTGATTCTTGAAGTCTTGTAGAGCTCAGGTATGCCAGCCCTCTTGGCCACCAGCATCAGGCAATTAAGGGGTATCCTCTGTGTGGATTGCATGCAGCCACTGGTTTTAGCAAGATAGCTGCAAAGTTTAGGGAATGAGCACATTCTCTGGCTTCAGGAAGGCAGCAGGAAAATGTCTTGACATTGCCCTCCTAGCTTTAGGCTAGGAGCAAGAGAATGTCATGACTGCTCACTCTTGTCAGCCCCAGCTAGGGAGCAGGAGAGTGTTGCAACCACCCATGCTTTCTGGTTTCAGCAGGGCAGTAGGATAGTGCCATGACTGCCTGCCCCATCCTGTCCTAGCTAGGTGGTGGGAGGGTGCCATCTCTGAGCTCACCCACATGTGCTAGCAGTGGGGAGTGCAATAATGGCATCCACCAGGGCCTCCATCACCAGGGAGCCTTTCAATTGTCCCTGGCCCCTCCAGCCTATGCAGTTAGGTTAACAAATGAATCTCCTTCACATATAGGCTAGGAGTTTTTCAAACTGCTGTTTTTTCACTGAGTCTCTGGGTGAGTAAAACTACACATGAGCCCTTTAAGAGGGGAGTCTCAGTTTCCTATAACACTTTGAGTTCCTTGGACATCAACCCTGTTGATTTTTAAACCAGACGTTTTGGGGGCTTGACTCTCCAGTGCAGATCTCAGGGGTTGGGGTGCCTTATGTGGGGCACCAACTTCTCGCTCCTCCAGGAGAAGAGCCTCTCTGGTGAGATCCCCCCCTGTTTTGTGTCACCATGGTGGGGGTGGGGTTTTTTGCAAGACCTTGTCTCTGCTCTCCTACCTCTCTTGATGTGGTCATTTTACCCTATTTGTGGAGAGTGGTTCATCTAGTTTTCAGATCTTTTACAGAGGGAGATGATCTGTATCCATACATAAATTTGGTATGTCCCTCGGAGAAGGTGAGTTCAGGATCTTTCTGTGCTGCCATCTGGGACCCCCAGATCTCTGTTCTTTTATTACTTGACTTCCCTGGAGCATTCACAAAGTTTAACAGTCCTTCTTCTTTAGAGAATTTTGTTGCACATTCTCATGGACACATCTTCATGGTTTCTGCCATCACAATGGCTGCTCCCTCTCAGTCTTCTTTTTTCACTCTTCCCTTTAGGTCAAACTTTGTATTATGGAACACTCCAGGTCTCTGTCCTGGGTCCCCTTTTCTTGTGTCACTAAATGTACTTTGCTAAGTTGCCTCATTCAGTCATCTGGATTCAAACATAATGAATCCCAAATATCTCCTCATGGCCTTTCCTTGGCTCTTCAGACTAGAAAATACAAGTGCCTGTTTCATATTTCCACATGAATATGAAATTCTAATTTCACTTCAAATTTTAAATGGCAAAAATAGAAATATTTATTTTTCCTTTAAAACTGTTCCCTCTCCCCAATAATCCTCACTTCATGAAATACAAATATAGATACATATTTAAATACAATCACCAAGTGTTTGCTAGGTGCCAGCACTGTTCTAATCATCTTAAAAATACTGAATCACTTAATCTCTAATGCTTTGTGGCTTTCTTTTTTTAACCACTACAGACTAAGACACAGAGAGGTTTGATTACTTATCCACAGTCCCACAAGTGATAAGCAGCAGAACCAGGCTTCAAGCCCAGGTATACTAGCCCTAGAGAATGTGCTATGCTTTTTATCACTATGCTATACTGCCTATAAATGTTCATATCTTATTATCTACCAACTTTATCAAGTCAAAAATCTCTCATAAACATTTCATAAATTTGTACTATAAATTCTAACTTCAAAATGTATTCTTACTCTATCCATGGGTCATCACATTTTCTGATACTAGTATTTCAAGCTACTATTCTCTCTCGCGTGACATACTACAATAGGTTTCTTGCTATTCTCCCTACTTCGGATACCGCAGCCCTACAATTCATTCTCCAGATGTAGTAACAGTGTCTTTCTGAAAAAACAACTCAATTATTTTCCCTTCCTGATTAACCTCTTTCAGTGGTTTTCCAAAAAACTGCAATTCCCTTACTGTGATTAACAAAGACTGGGAATAGTCTGTCTCCTCTTTCTTTGACCTCCTCTAACATCATTTCTCATCTTGGCCACAATTCTTTAGCCACTGTGATTTTTTTCTGTATTTCAAATAGGTAAGGTTTTTCCCCAAATTAGGGTCTTTGAACTAGATGTTCTTGCTCCCTGTAATCAGTCCCACTGATTTGGCACACTGATTCTCACTGGCTGTAAGATCTGAACTACCTGCTCTCTGTAATATAAGTTAGTTTCAAATCTCCGCATACTGTAGCACAATTTGAGAACTATCTATTTATCTATTTATTTATTTTCATTTACAATTAAAATTTGTATTCCATGAGAGCAGGGACTTGTATGTCTTGCTCATTTCTGTATTGTTGGCACCAAGAATAGCGTTTAGTATACAGAAGGTATTCAATAGATAACTTTTGAATAAGTAACTACATAAATAATTGAGAAAATAATTCTTAAGAAAGATAGTTCTTGAGGTCATACTTCTAACCTTAGATAAGATCTTGACTAGATAGTTCTTTCAGTATTAACTATTTTCCAAAATCTAAAAAAGTTGTTTCACATTTTATTTGCAGTTTTCTCTGTTTCACAATATTATTGTATAAACAACTGTGACATGTAGGACAAAGACTAGAAGTTTAGTAAGATTTTCTTGGTATCTCTGAATTGTATTTTTGAAATATCTAGTACTCATATATACACAAGATAATTTGATTCACGTAGTGAATTAATAATAATTAAATTATAATATAAAGTTCATAATTTCTTTCCCCAAATTTGTATAGACAGGATATGTTGTATTCAGATTGATTGGTTTTCTTACTTCTCTTTCTTAAACCCCATTTTTGCCTCTTTGTTTCTTGAATCAGCCTACCAATTAACAGCCTTTCTTGTGAGAACTAGCTTGCATGCAAAACAACTAACAAAATATTTTTGACTTGTTCTTTAAAAAGGTATTTAAAAACGTCCTTGAGTTTCTAGCAAACCACATTCCTTGACCAAGGACACATTAGGAAAGACATAAAGACAAAATGAATGAGTGAATGATTCAAATTAAGATGTATACCATTGCCAGACCTCTTTGCTAATTTTGCTTTCCACAGCGCCTCCTGCTCCTTCCCAGCTATGGCGTCAAAGGGCCTTGGCTCTGACTCTTCTGTGCCTTCTGCTGGTGATTGGACTGGGAGTCTCAGGAAGCATGTGTAGGTATCACCCATGTTTTGATTAAAAGGGAAAACACCTAGAGTGGCATGAGTTTTTACAAAAAAGTTTGCTCTGAATTGAGGCTTTGGAATGATTATAGGTGATATACCCACAGAGGGGACTTACAATGTGGTACTTAGTCTCTTTCTCTCACTCCTGTGAAGTGACTGCTTTCCTGACCTTTAATGTTCTTAATACTATTTCAGCAAAGAGGAGGTGATGACTGTTGAGGCATTAAAAATTTCTGTTGAACATCTTTTTTGGTCTGGAGTTTACATAACATTGAAGATAGAAATGGGAAAAGTGACTAAACTACAAAATTTTAAAGAAGAACTTCAGCATTTCCAAACTGGAACTTTAGGATCAAATCTCAGAACACAATTTCTCAGCATTTACTAAAACCAGAATATCTGGAAATTATTCCTGAAGGATCTGAATTCCGTAAAATCTACATAAGAGGAGATTATTTGTTTCCACCTTTTTGTATTCTTTTAACTGAGAGAAAAAGTCAATGTATACTATAATAAGAGGATATTTTGAATAAAATATGTATAAAAAAGCAAAATTAAGAGGGGTTGGCAAAGGCAACTGCCAAGCAGATGTATTGCACTGAGTCCCTGGATCCTAGGAAAAGTGAGTTCTCTAGAAAATTTATTTGTGTATTTATTTATTTTCCTTTTTCTAATATCTAAATAATATCTCCATGTTTTACTTATTATCCCAGCATTTCTGGTCACTGAGGTAGTAATTATACTTATTTTTTAAGCAAAAAATTTATTTTCCCACAAGTCTCAGCTTTTCTACTCTAAGAAGCTTTGTCCTCCTTTATAGAAGAGGAGCAATCAATCAATAGTCTCTTCATCTGATCATTTTCAAATGATCCATTCATAGTTATTTACTCAAAACAATGTCTGGCGTATGAGACAAAACTATTGCTCTGGCTACAAAATTCAGGACTGGTTCTAAATTCTGTCCTAGCACCACTCTCATCTGACTTTGCTACATTTTTCTCCTACTCTTGCTGTTTCTATTACTTGTGTTTACAGTGATTAACCACCTCCTTTGCCCATGGACTGAATATTTACTGCTCAATATTTGAATCCTGGAGTTTGTGAACTTCATTGACCCTAAGTTAAGGTTATGCATGGATTGATAGATCCTTCTCCTTGTGAGACAGTAACCAATGTATAAATTCTGGAGGAAATCTTACCATAAGGAACACTTTGTCTCCATTTTTTTTAATGGCATTGAAAAGTAGCAGTATAATGTCAAAAATATTACTTTAAATAAGTAATATGTAAGATATTATATTGTGAGGTAATAGACAAAAATAAGAGAGTTATTTTAACAAACCATCTCTATTTCCTGTAGGAATTTATAAAATTCCAGAGGTTATATAAATATTGGCTGGAATGATCTCCCAGAAAAAATTACATAGCCTACAACATCTTGGATGAGACAATTATCTCCTCCGACTGGTAACTCTTTATTTTTGTTGAATTTTTCTAGCTGCTTTGAGTTAAGGCATTTTCCTCAGGAGATTGGGACTTTACAATTAAAACTGGCTTCAACTAAAATTACATGCTTAAAGAACTTTTTTCCAACCGGCTTCCTTAACATGTTTAATAATGCAAAAAATTGCTGCAAATGTCTTCTCATTATCTTAAAAAATCTCTAATGAATTTATAGTAGCCATATAAGCGAGAATTGCTGGGAATAATACTTTTATCTAAGGAAATTATAGAAGCCAGTGAAAGTCACTGGGCTCTAACGTGTTTAAAATTATGCTAAGTGCTGGGATTCGAAGATGAATGAAAGAGTGATTCTTCCCTTAGTTACATAACCATTAATTGTATCCACAGACTAATTAAACTATTCTTTAGATAAAAAGAATATAATGTGATAAATGCTTCAGCAGGAATACACAGAATAACCAAAAAGAAATTTTAGCTTTGAAATTTGTGTTATAACTGACATTGAAATGGCCACTTTTGAATGAAAAATTTGGAGACAGACTAGAAGAGTATTTTTGATCAAAAGAATAAAATGAGGGTCCAGCCCGGTGGCGCAAGCCATTAAGTGCTCGAGCTCCTCTGCGGCGGCCCGGGGTTCGCTGGTTCGGATCCCGGGCGCGTACCCACACACTGCTTGGCAAGCCATGCTGTGGCGGCGTCCCATATAAAGTGGAGGAAGATGGGCATGGATGTTAGCCCAGGGCCATTCTTCCTCAGCAAAAAAAAGAGGAGGATTGGCACATGTTAGCACAGGGCTGCTCTCCTCACAAAAAAAAAAAAAAAAAAAAAAGAATAAAATGAACATGGGCATGGTATATTGTATATATGATATATATAAACTATTTTGTTGTGTAAGATATTAAGAAATGTGGTTATAAATATACCATTATAAATGGATTCATATGTTTTATTTGTTTTCCCTCATTCCTTGTAATGAGGGGGGAAAAAACACAAGACACTGAAATAATGCCAAAATTCCATTTGTATTTTATAATCCTTTAAATTTAGGAAGTAGACTGGATTATACTACAGAAAGAATCCAGAACCTTAGCCTGCTGGATACTATTGGAAGCCCATGAATGTGGTTGAGGACACACCAAGCAGGAGTGAACTCAGGGCAACTGTGTCGGGTGCTGCCACAGGAATCTAAACCCGGAGGTTCCTGCATCCTCACCACATTGGGCCACACAGCAAATAGAAGCTTGGATTGTTTTTGTGCTTTGTTTTGTTTAGTTTGCTTTTTCCTCTAGATTGAAATAGCAGGGTTAGGAATATGGCTCAGAAACACAAGGCAGCTCTCTCACTGACAGTTTGCAATGAGAGGACAGAATGAGGTATTAGATATGTAGAAATGGAGGAGAGAAGGATGTATGCTTTAACCATCTCATTTGTCGTGAAGGACTAGAGATAAAGGTAGTGTGTATCTGGGGAGGATGTAGCTGGAATCTTGTTTGGAAAAGTAGAATTTCCATGTGTTCAATTGTAATTATTGCTAATGGGAAAGGAATCTATAATGGGATGGTAGATGGTGAAAAAACAGTAGATATTTCAAAGTGTCAAGAAATAATACTGAAATAAAAAGTAAGTAATAATACATATGTATATAAAACACATTATAAATATATATACTATATAAGCGTATGTTATATATGTATGTATGTATGATTTCCTTTGGTTTTTTACTCTAAATGTTATTTTTGGGCTTGTTTTTGGAAAGAGGCTGTAATCAATGACATCTGTATTATGTCATCTCAAATAGGAAATTTCACTTTGGAAAATTTAATTGATCCAATTATTTATTGATGATCATTGTTATTGACCCAAGTATTGATGCTACCCTTTTTCTGAAAGATAATATTTTCAATTTACAAATTTGTCTTTAATGCATGGTCCCTGGTCAATAATCTTGTATTAGGGGCTGGTAATTATTCAGAACTCCAGAGTAATATCTTTGAAAAATGGCTAGAGGGAAATGTCACTTGGAGATGATGTTGAGCTTAAGGCATCCTACATTAGGTTAATTCCTGGTTTTGGTGATTATGAAAAACATCTGAGGAAGACATTTTTGAAGATTTACTACTGGGCCAGTTAGACTAGAGAATCTAACGGAACTGAATTATTCTAAATCATACTAGGTATTGGGGTAGACAGGTATTATGTCTGGAAGTAAAGGACAGCAAATATTCCAGATGTGATAAAGTGGAAAAGGCTGGGAGAAATCAGGCAGTGTCTGAAATTGCATATTTGTCGATAAAAATGAATAATTTGGACACTCTTGACATTCTGAATAATAATTGAAATTTATTTTAGACAATGCAGATTCTAGCAATAATACATTGGAAAAGTAATTTTTTCTGTGAATGTGATTCAAATGTTTGACTTGCCAAGTGTAATACTTTATTTTCTCTTTCAGGTTTATAAGAAACACAAATGACTTAAATGATAGGATATATTGTAGATATATAGATAACATATATGTTTATTACACTGACTGCACTGAGCAAAGAAGGATTATATGTGAGAAGTTGGCTAATCCAGTGAAGATTGAGAGTACACTAATGAGTGAAGTACCAGATGGAAGAATGTAGTCGGTGCAATTATTTTGCCTCAGCTATTATCCTGCAATTAAGGGCAACTTCAGGGAGCATATATCTTGTGGACCACACAAATGGAATATAGATGCTATAAGACTAAATTTTTGCCTCTCTCCTAACAATTTCCATTTTCAAACTTTCTTCCTTCTCCTCATTTGCTGAGTGAAAGTAACCTAAAATCATACCTTATCATCTATATATAGTCAGATACTGTTTGGTAGAAATGCAGTGTTTTGGGTGAGAATACAGAAAACTGAAGCTAATTGTTCCTGCCTTTCCAGAAATAAACAAGTTAAATACCAACCTTATGGAAAATCAGAAAAATTAAATCTATTAGTATATAGAAAAGATAATACATCGTGACCAATCGGGGTTTATTCTAATAACTCAGGTTGATTTACATTTTGGAAAAAAGTAAGAAAGCGAGAGAAAATATGTTATTTCAATAGAAGTAGAAAAGCACTTGATAAAATTTAACACCAAATAATTATAAAATCTCTCAGAAAACTAGAAGTGGATTTTCCTAAGTGATTAAAAAATGTCAACATTAAAAAGAAAAATGGAAAAAAAAGCTAACAGCAGCAACAACAAATCCTAAACCTAACATCATATTTCTGGTAAAAGAGTGAATGTTTTTCTTTTGAGCTCTGGAACAAGATCAGAATGGTCTTTATGAATTATTTTATTCAACAACCTATCTATTGAAGATCCCAGCAGTGAAATAAGGCAAGATAAAGAAATTTAAAAATATAAAAAATGAGAAAGGAAGAAATATTTTTATTTGTAGATAATATAATTGTATACATAAAAAACTAATATTTATAACATACTAGAATAAATAATTTATCAAGGTAATTGGGTAAAATCTCAATAGACAAACATTGATCATTTTTATATGTTATCAGTATACAATGATAAATAAAATTTAAAAAGCAATACCACTTATAACAGTATCCAAAAACAAAATAGGAATAAACCTAATAAAAATGTGAAAACCTCTGTACATGAATATTTCATGCAATGTGGTCCCATTGCCTCACCCAAAGTAACACCTCTTTCCTAGGGATCTCTATATCAGTGACTGGCAAATATGGTGTAGCAAGTGACCAGGAGCAGACTGCCCATTATGAGCTGGGTTCTGTTTTACCCACCGAATCATAAGATTAGGCGGTACCAACAGAAATTCACTGTAAGATGCCTCAAAGAAAACAATAAGCTCTTTGCTGTCAAATTAACTAATATGTACCCATTTGACAATGGAAGGAGCCACGACTCACTTTGACAGGAATAGATGCTTATTCTGGGTATAGAATTGCTTGTCCTGCCCGCAGGGCCTCAGCCAGAACCAGTATCCATGAGCTTAAAGAATACTTGATCAACTGGAATGGGACTTTACAAAATATCATGTCTGAACAAGGGACACATTTTCAAGCATAGAAGTAAGAAAGTGGACAATTGATCATGGATCCACTGGTCATATCACAAACAGAAGCGACATAAAGCTGAAAGTCAGATAGAGGAATGGAAAGGACTAAGCACAGCTGGAAAGCCAGATCTGAGTTAATACTTATGACAACACGATGCCGTCTTCCAAGGTTTGGTGTAGGCTTTAAATCAACAACCTTTATGTGGTGCTTGTCCTCAGCAGGTAGAATACTTGGGTCTGGAAAGGGCAGAAGCAGGAGTGACTTTGCTTACCATCATTTCCAATGACCAACTTGGGAAATGCGTGCCTTCTGTCCAAGTCACTCTGGGTTCTGTGGGTTTAGAGAACATGGTCTCTAAAGGACAAATTCGTCCACCAGGGGGCACAACATCTCATTGGATGACTCACTCTTGGAATGAATAATTGACTCTGATGAACAGCAGGTAAGGCTGCTGTTACACAATAGGCACAGGAAGAAATATGTTTGGCATTCAGTTGTCCCACTGGAGTACATTTTTATAATCCATTGCCCATTTTGATGGTAAATAGACAAATTCAGCAGTCATATCTTGAGAATTGTGTGATGAACAAGGGCTAAAACCCCAAGTAGGTGACAAAGATCGGCAGAGATGCTAGCAGACAGTGATAGAAATCTGGAATGAATAGTAAAGGAGGGAGAGGATGAGGATCAGTTGTGACTCTGAGCTCAGCTGCAGCACCAGGGGCTGTAATTCACTCCACACACCCTCTTCTTACAAGTTTATCCCAAGAAAAGAGACACAACTTCAACCTGGACTTTCTTCACTTCCACGAAGAAGTGGATCTAGACTGGGAGACAAATTGTAGTGGACTCTGTGGTGTGATAGACAGAGCCTCCTTCAGGACTGAAGGGCTTATTCTCCCAGTTGCTGGGGAAGCGGTCAACACACAACTATCAAGTGTGAGCCTTTGTCTCTGTTGAAGAGAATGAACTCACCCAAGGTCATGTTCTCTTTCCAGGGCAGCTCATATCCAACGATTTATACAGGAGTATAAAGACCTGGCTACTTTGTTCTAACTGGGCAAAACTCAAAATGTCTATTCCAGCTTAAGAGCTCCATCTGGAGTTGACTGAGGCCTCACTGAGAATGCAACACAGCCCAGCTTCTTCCTTTGCCCAATCCTGCTTCCCTCTCTTCTCTTCCACAGGTGGTAATGATATCGAACCTGAAGTGAGTTCACTCACCCATTGTGTAGCAAGTCAACTTCTGACACCAGGTATGCTGGAAGAAAGTAGGAATTTTATTGCAAAGAGCTGAACAAGGAGAACAGGCAGCTAATGCTGTAATCCTGAACTCCCTGAAAAGCTACAACCAACAGTTTTTATTTGAGGTTTTAGGTAGAGGAGCGGAAGAATGTGGCCTTGGGGGTGAAGTTCTAAGTGTCCTCTACACAAGCGTGACTGTCTGTTCTATGTGTTGCATTTGGTGGAATTTTAGTCTGTGATGTCTAAAGTTTACAATCAGTCATTTTAGCTTCTCAATGTTCCTGCAAGAGGCTTAGTCAGGGATGGGGCTGTCAGGAGGTTTCTCTCTTATCAGTGGTCCTCCTGCTGTTCTGCAAGGCAAGCTCAGAAACTTTGGTTATTTTGATTCCCATGTTACCCTTGTCGGTACAAGGCACAGGTTCACTCTAATCCAGGGAAATTTTAACTCCTTCACCCTCAGTTTCAATCCTCCCTCTCTTTTGATCATCCCTCAATCTTGGGGAATGGGGCTGAAGACCACTCTAGCTGATTCCTGCTGTGAAATGGTGAAGTTTGAGGTCAGAGGAATGAAATTGTTCTAAATTTATTTTAAAATATTCTTTGGTACCAGGTGGGGGAGAGTAAGGTATGTTCTGCATGACTAATATTTTAATCCTCTGATAAATGGCTTTGGAACAACACTTAATTCCACATTTTTTAATTACATAGACAACCACATATATTAGCAAAATACACAGGCCAAATTTTAGTATCCTCTCCATAATGGACCTTAATCCTTAGGGAGTCCAGGAGAAGAGACCTGTAAACCAATCAAGATTAGGACCTGGAACCTCAGGTGAAATCTGATGTAGCCAAATAGCCTGCTATCTAATAGTCCAACAAGTAAGATAAGAACCTGGGAGTCATTCATTACTTATCTTTAGGAGGCTGTCTTCTGTATTGCAACTTGCGGTCTATCAAAGGTTCACTTGTCCATTTGAAGAAGTCAAAGTTTAGAGTATGAAGCCAGCCAAGGTTTGGGTGATCCTGGTTGTGATGTTATTCTATGGCATGGTTTCTGTTCCCTGTGTCATTTGTCATATGATGGTATCTAACAGGGAGGAAGTTGATCTTCTGGGTGCTTGTGTTTCCAGGATTTTAATATGATTCAGTCTCCATTACAAAGATGAGTCAGAGGAACATCTGACAGTGACTAGTTCCTTAATTCGAGTTCACTCTGGGTCTTTTGAATCGTCTCTATAATGAGATGATTATAGAGATCATCTCTTATAATTGAGTCCCAATGTTAGGACTATATTACGTAAGCAAGTAACCAGGTATTTAATAAGAAACATTTCCAGAGAAACAGAAATAAAACAAGGTTAATAGTTGGAGCAAATTAAAAACCAATTCCTGAGCCCAGGTGATGGCCAGTCAAGAAGATTTCTAGATGTCAGGGTTGAAGTATCCCCTGCAGTTTGAAATGTCTCTGATGGTGTCATCAGGTACTCAGGTAAACTTTTTGAGTGGCTTATACAGAAACAGGCATGAAGATTGTCTAAACATGGGCTATCATGGTGTTCTCGCTTAAGTTTACATCAAGTTGTCCAGCTTCAGTTTGCAAAATCTCAAAGACAATTAACAGAACCAGAATCCAATAGCCACAAATGTGTATTATAGTTTCCATTGAAACATAATTTTTCTCTCTAAAAATCAACCTCATTTTTTCCAAAGATAGACAACTTTAGACTCATTGGTTCACAAAATAAGTCTAGTTTCAGTGAACTTGGCCCAATCATTTACATAAGTATAGCAAGAACAGCAATTGATCATATAGGCTCCTTTAAATCTGCTTTGTTGTAACTTTTCATAGGGAATCTCAGATTGAACTTTAAGGGACTCTCAAGGCCAGGAAAGCCAAGCCAAGGACTTGTCATCAGACTCTGCCTGCAATGTCTACAGATTTGGTTGAATTCTTCTCTTTTCAAGGTCACCAAAATGTCCTGAGGTTCTTGCACCTGCCAGGGAAGTGACCTGCTTTACTCACCTGGTAAGGTTACTGGGAACTGTAAGCAAGGTATCAGGCCAATATTTCCAAGTGATTTTATTTGTTCCATAAAGTCAATCCTTGTCTCTTAAAGTTGTTCGGTCATATCTGAGTTTATGCATGTTTTTCTCAAATACAACATTCCTGTCAAAGCCTGGGTAATATAACTAGTGTTTCCAATTGTGTCCTGCTATAAGGATAACAGATTCTTATTGAACTTATGCAAATAACTATATTGCCATGAAAATAAGAATACTCAGTCCTCAAGACTTTTCAAATTTTTGAGGGATCAGATAGAGAGAAAAAGATAAATGTTTCAATTCTGCTTACAAATAGCAATGTCATAGTTTCTTAAGGGAAAAGAGAAAAAGTTTCCCTTAAAACTGAAAAAACAAAACATTAAGAATGTCAGCAATAT